TAAATGAAATAGCAACATAGTTAAAAACTCATCTTTCATTTCTTACTGAACATCATTGTATAAGTCACTATTTAGCTCTTGCTTCTAAAGATGCAGCAGAACAAACTCTATATTTTGAAACTTATAATGAAATTATTTGACAACTTTATAGTTATTTTAGCTAATCATATTCATAACTTCAAACTTTGCAAATAATTCAAAATCATTTAAATAAGTCTAATTTAGATATCTTACAAGTTATTAAAACTAGATAGTTTTCATTAAGTAATGTAGTTACTAATCTTTATCAGATTATTAATTCAGTAATTGGTGCATTATTAGAAGACTTACAAAAAGGTCAAAAAACTGCTCAATGGCTTTATGAATGTATTGATCAAGATTTTTTAATTGCAACACATTTTTTAGCAGATTTACTTTCACACTTCATAAACTTTCTTTAGTTTTTCAAGCAGATTATGTTTTAGTTTCAGAGATTACTATGCAAGTATATGCAATTATTGAATTTATTACAACTGATTTTATTGGTACAACAAATATACCACCTATATTTAGGATATATTATTATGATTTATTAATCAAAATAATATTTCACCTAATAATCTTCCTTTATTTGTATGAGAATTTTCTATAAATACAGTAAAAAATCTTAAGCTTTGCTTTCCAGATCGAGTAATTGTAAATTTATTTAAAATTTTTAATCCAAAGCAATTACCTACTGATCTATACTCATTAGCAATTTATAGAAATTATAAGATTACTGAAATTGGTAAATTTTATGGAACATCAAAAATAACTGCAGGTATTAAAATTTGTTATTATCAATCTTATTTTAAATAACTGCTAATAATTATTAACTATGTATATAAAATTCTAATAATTATAAACTATAATAAACTTATTAAGAAAACAAATATCAAAAAGTTATTAATACAGATAATCTTGCTCAAGAGTAGAGAGTTATTAGATCACTTCTTTCTAATTATCATGATTTGCATATTACTACTGCATTGTATAATATTCTACGTGATAATCAAGACTTTATTTTGATTTATTCTAATTCCTATATTATTATT